TTGCGGATGTCTATGGGCAGTGGTCGCTTCGCCATTTTGGCGGATTCAAGTGTCCGCTTGCTCGTTTGCCACCTTATTTTATAAAAAAAAAGATTTATAACTAATGTGAAGAATATCAGTACTGCACTGTAGAATTAGAAAGAAAGAAATAAGTTTATTCAAAAAAAAAAGAAAAGGAACTCATTCGACATGTGTCCTCACTTCAGCTCTTCGGTGTACTAACGAATCCTAAAAACATAACATGCAGTTTAACAGAATAGTAGAAGAAAAAAAATTGTGTACTTAATGTTACACTCGGTCACAACCTCACAACTAGAAAACTTAATCTAAATCTAGGGATAAATATAAAAAATAACACTTAGATCTTACTTAATGTACTTAAATTATTTTAAAATTAACATTGCTTATACTGGGTTGCTGAAGTTTCCATTTAATCTATCATAACCTAGTGATTCATTAGCAAGCTAAGTAAAATGAGTAAAACTCATGTTATGTAGTTCAGAAACACATTTCAAGAAGTAATGAGCGCAACACTAACTTATTGGCATACAAGTCCCATCTCTATCTGACAGCTGTCAATGTCATTCAGACGTATTGGAATTGCGCGCCATTCCGGCGACAGTGGCCCTGATTGTTTAAGTTAATTACGTCGTTAGTTATATTAATGTTTTCACGATCCAGTTAAATTAAATCAAACTTGAGGGCAGTTACCGGGATTTACATTCCTTTAGATGATTCATGTTTCATGAAACAATATACATACCATTTCCCTGGCTTGTCTTTTTAGAACAATGTTACTCTTTCGTCGCAAACTCAACACAAAAATCAATACAATAACAATCAAATAAAACTTAACAATACAAAACTCAACTCAACAATAAGAACAGAAAAAAAAACTAGAAATATTATGAAATTGGGTCAACATAAGTGTACTCGGGAGCAAACGGTACATGGTGAAAGAAGTGGGAGGCAAAGGCCGACTGATTAACCAATAGCAAGCGTCCTCTTTGCCCCGCTAAAAGACCGTAAAATCGACTTCTGCGCTACCAAATGTATTGTTCAAGATGTTTGCCGGCCGCTATACGAAAGCTAGTGTTTACTTTGGTGTATAGTTACCGCAGCTGCTGCTCCCTCCTGAGTTCGTCAGCGGAGAGGGTGTAGAAGTCGGGGGGCAGCGCGGGGCGCGGCGCGGCCTGCGAGGGCAGCAGCACGCGCGCGCCGCGCTCCAGCTGCAGCCGCACGGGCTCCGCGCTGCGCAGCGCTTCTATCAACGTCTGCACACAACCACACTCCACTCACAATCATCACTAAAACACCTAAATTAAGTTAAATTTATCATCAACTTGCATTTACTCAGAGGTTTAAGCACTTGACTTGTAATCTATATTTCGAACCCAGAATCTATAGATTACAAGTGTAGTACCATTGAGCCACCGACGATCTTAAAAATTATATTCTTCAGTGCATAAATAAATATAGTACCCATATAGTAGATTATTCAATGGTCCTTCGAGCCGAATGTATTACAATCCGTAGACAGTAAATTTTACTTCATTTTTCTCATTTTAACCGTATGGTGTTTGAAATTGAATACTTACTAACTAAATTACTAGTATTAAATAACTTATAACGATATTGTTCACTTAAGTTGACAATGCATGTTTTCAGAAAATCAATAAATATATGTATTTTAATTTATTAATAAATATATTATTTTTCTTTCAAAAAGAAAAAAAAATTGAATTTATAAAATTTAATTTGTACTCATTATATTGCATGTTTGAAGGGGTACTTATTGTTTTTTCTTTGTGTAAATTAATTACAATAAATAAATAAATAGAAATGAATTATGTGTATCTTACCGTTAAACTTTCAATGGAAGGTACATTTTCCTGTTTGAACACCATGTATTGTTCCTCATTTCCTTCCGGATTGAGTAAAGTCTCCTCTCTGAAGCCAGCCGCTAACAACAGTTCTAACGCTCCCTCTATTGGCTGTACACGCTCACAAAATGCTCTGAAATAACAAATATTCAAGTTAAACAATATCTTTACTATCTATACTAATATTGTAAAGAGGAAAGAAATGTATTTTTAGATTTTTGAGATATTAAAAAAACTCAAAAACTACTGGGTATAGTAAACATCAAAAATTCTTTCACCATTAAAAAGCGACATAAACACTTATTAACATAGGCTACATTTTTAATTCCCGCGGACAAAGTCGCGAGCAACAGCTAGTTTATAATATCTCTCGCTTCAACATTCTTCAAAATTTTCGAATTTAACATGAAATATGTAATCAAATAATTTAAAAAATCAGAATATATTGTGAATCAAAGACTCCAGAAAGTAACTAATAATATGTTAATATTTACATAAATAATTACCTGTTGGACATTCGTATTTTCTGATATTTCTCCTGTTCCGGGTAAGTAACAATGTTCTCCAAATATTTGCAAAGTGTTTCTACACAAGTGTCAATCTGTAAACAACAATATTTTTTTAATTTACCATGGTAACCGCTAAAAAACCACCAAAACTAAATCCTGACTTAACTTTTGACTAATAAACAATACAATAAACATAAACAAACAAATAAATAAATAGGGCTTTTATTGCTACAAATACAAATTACAAATAGCTAGTAAAAAAAAAATATGAGGATCGTATGGCAGATTTTTCACATTGTTTAGGGATCCTAGATTTTTTTTATATAATTTTAGACAACTTATTTAATTGATACTGTCGCTTTAAACTCAGAGCAATACTTCTCGCCAGACTCTGAATGCGCGCCAATCTATCCATACTTCTAGTGACATTGACAGTTGTCAGCTAGGGATGTGACGTTTATGCCGATAATCTAGTGTTGCGCCAACTCTACAGCACGGTACTAATTTTGTTCCTAACAATAATAAGGTGGTAAACGGACAAGAGGACACCTGAATTGGCCAAAATGACATATGCAATTGATGCATTGCCTACCCTTAATGACTGGATAAGACTCACATAAAGAGGAAATGTCAACTTCCTAAGCATCTCCTCCACTGCCAAATAAACTTTCTCTTTTCATACTTCCCTTAAAAGAACAGGGTGGACAGGGAAAGGTACTAGAATTAGGCCTCTCGCACAACACTCATTAGACTGTACGTGGAATTGCTTCCACTTCACGTCTGTTGTGGTCAATGGTGACCAAACCAGCACAGTGCAAAGATGTTAAAGCGGGCTCTACCACTGTTTTATAATGAATTTACAATACAAGTATTACAGACCTTTTCTCTATTGTTATTACAGGACTGTATGATGAGACAGGCGGCTAGACCTCTCTCTTCCTCTAACTGTTCATACAGAAAACTCTTTATGTTCCTCTTCCATTCTTCTCGAGGTAAGATTTCATTACTTATTAGTGGACATCTGAAATTAAAAACATTTACTACAATTTTCATCAGTGTGGATTTAAAAAATAGGCCTATAATGTACAAGCATATATCAGTTACTTTCCCTTCAATCTCGGTAAAATCAATTTAGCCCTTTTGAAGATATAGAAGCTTCCGCCCGCGACACCATCAGCATGGTATTAAAAATAAACAGAAGTAAGTATCCTATGTGTTTCAGACTATCTTTATATGCCAAATCACCAAGATCCATTCAGTTTAGGCTATAAATAATATTAAACAATCCATCCATCTAAACTTTCACATTTATAATATTATTAATATAGATATAGAACAAAACAAACACAGGCAGACAGACAAAAATTGGATTCCCATTATAAGCAACACAAACACACCATGTTCACGAAAATTGATTTATTTTTCATGGACTGGATTATACTATTTCTTCATCTTGGTCAAATACACTTCGCCTTCCCAATTCTTTTAGGAAAAGGGTAGGAATAGTTGATTGATTAGGGTTGTTAGTCCACTAACCACTAAGTCACATTACTAGAATATATGTACGATATAGCTGTTGCTTGCGGCGTCGTCCGCGTGAAATTAAAAAATAACAAAAACATAGTCCTTGTTACTCATACCTAAATTACCTTTCTAATGGTGAAAGAATATTTGAAATCGGTTCAGTAGTTTTTACGTGAATTGAATACATACAAAAATCCAAACCTTCCCTCTTTATAATATTAGTATAGATATACAAGATATTGTATAGTAAAAAATATAGTAATACATACTTAAAGAAAACACCAGAAGTAGCATAATTCTTAGGCACATCAACTTCCTGTTCCATGGACTTCTTTCGTTGCGGAATGGAATGTGTACTTTCAGTCTCAGTGGACTTTTCATTTTCTAATTCCTTTCTTACTTGCGCCTAAAAGTAATATCTCACATTTAATAAAAATAGTACCACCATACTCATAGGGGGTCAGTGCCCACCCTAAATTAGGGTGACTAAGCCATAGTCAACCACACTGGCCAAGTGCGGGTTGGTTGACTTCACACATATCTTTGAATTTTTCTCCATAATAACATCAGGTAAATTATGGACATTTGAAATTCGAAAATCACATTACATGGGGGATTCAAACCCAGGACCCGTGGATTATGTCAAGTGCTCAAACCCATAAGCCACCAACACTCTTTATACATATATAAAATACAGCTTGATATAATAAAAAACAAATGTTTAGCTTTGATCTGTGATCAGCTCTGTATCAGTTTAAAAGATCAGTTCATGGCTCAGCAGCTAAATGAGTAGCTCACAATGTTTTATTACAGTTTTTGCTAAAATGAATGTAGAAACACAAAATTACCTTAATAGCTGCAAGTGAAGTATTAAATGCAGGGTTGTCTCTTTTCTGTTGCAACCTAGCTAAAGCCGCTTCAGCTGCAACTTTACTCTCTTGGGACAGCCCTGACCGTTTTACAACTGGCACCTCCTTTCTTGATGATTCAGAAGAACTCTGGCTGGTAGATTCTGTAAGCTTGTGCCCCGGACCCGCTAATTTGAATTTAGCATCTGCCTTCTTTTTTTGAAAGAATTTCATTATTTTGTCAGCCATGTTTATATTCTTGGGGTGTGTTCTTTAGGCAATTTCAACTTTGATACACTTTCTTTTAGTTGTTCTATTGTTGCTGATGTTGCTGTAGATAAGATAATGTTATCTTGTATGACTCAAAAATATTAAGAAAAAAAACAAGAAATAAACAAAGACAGTGATAAAATGTCTTCAATTTGACTTATGTAAGTTACCTTATTTGCATTTAATAGTTTGTAATATTATAAAGCCATTAACTCACCAGGTTTCATAAATCGTTCCGAAATACGCGATCCATAAACACGCCAAGAAATAAAAATCAATAACAACGTGAACAATAAAATTAATGAAAAAGTCTTGAGTAATAGAAATTGGAATTCGTTGAAATAAAAAACTTCGGCTAAATCGTCGTACAAGGACAGTTCACCAAAATTCACAAGTGTTTTTGGTAAATTTTCAACCGGCAACGACGAAACACAGGAACCAAAAAAGTCTTTTGCGAAGGTCAAAGTATCTTCAACTTGAAGATACAAAGCCTCAAAAAGCGATGAATTGAAAACGACGGTGTCGAATAAAGACATTACATATGTGAATTTAGTGGATCAAAAGAAATTTAACGAGAAAATTAAAATATTCATACTTTGTTACAAATCACGACATGAGTGTCATCAAATGACAAATGTCATTGTCACTATCATCAGTCATCATAAGGTGTCAAGTGAAAGTATAATGTTGCTATTTGCTAGTGTTACAAATATGAAAATTGGGCCAAACATTTCTGTTTTACAAGACTTATTGAGAAAAAAGTAACGTAAAATGAAATAAAAGTTATATAACGCGCACATTAAACGTTTTCACTTAAATTAAAAAGGGCGCCATCTATTGACATATGTTTTTGTTTCATGAAGTGACCGCTAGGTTGTGCTTTACAATGTGTTGTTGAAACGCGATATTGTGAATTGTACGAAGTGAATGACCCAAGCGGGCCGGTATTTGGAAATCATACTTACCTGGCGTAGGGGCTACCGTGATCAAGTAGGCGGTTCCCCCAGGGCGAGGCCCCTCCATTGCACTGCGGTTGTGTTGACCCCTGCGATTATCCCTAATGCGGATAACTCGGACGCGTAATTTTTGGTAGTGGGGACTGCGTACGCGCCGTCCCCTCCAGAATCTAAAACACAGTCTATAAGTTAATTGTAGACAAGCTACAAGCTATTTGACTTGAAGGTTGAAGGGCGTAAAGCTAGTTTCACTTTTTACGAGGCCCTTGTAAATACATTTGTTATAACAGTGATCTCACGGGACTAAAAATTCTAGTTTTAAAATTAAATTATCTCTATTTGAATGAAAGGTAATATGAGAAGTAATTTAAGGTATTGTTGCTATTCAATATTGGCAGGTGTTAGCAGTATTCAGAATCTAATCTAATCTAAATTTTAGATTTAGCAGATAATAAAATGGATAATAATAGTCGATCATATGGCCACACTGTATCAAATACATAAGTATTTGTAATAATGTCTATAAAACTAGAGATACTCATGTCTACAGATCTGTATTTAAAAATTAATAAATTTTATTGAAATGCGCGCTTAACCGTAATCTTTTAATAAATACCCGCACGCCATCCTGTAATTTCCCACTACGTAGTTTGTTAACTTTTTGCGCAGTTTTTTTCAACTTAATAGATAACGTTAGTTGAAAATATGACCACATGTTCCACAAAAAATCTGATTTTATTTGATAACTAATTTTCCTGGATCTTGCTGTTTTTTTTTCTGCCTCGTAAAATATTTGATTTTTAATCTATACATATAAGATGTAATTGGGTTGCTAATAACAAATCGCATTTAAATTCATGTCTGTTTGTCCGCAAGCTGCGTTTATTCCGGGTAATCCCCGTAGCAGCTGGGTCGATTTCGACCAGACTTTCGCTGAAAGGCAGCTGACATAGACGGGCATGTCATAGGCTACTTTTTTTTTTAATTCCGCGCTGTCAAAATGGCGTCACTGGTGTTCCAAATTTGCGGTAACATAGCATAGATATGTTAGAAGCAAATAGATTAAAAATGCTATTAAATAGTCATACAAATTTTTTCTCGTTAGACTTCATAATTTAAACATGTGAATTAGATTCATACTATTAACAACAAATTTATGGATCCCGTTAGGATAACCTACATATACGAGGTTAAAGGCAATTAAGATAATATCCTTTAGAGATTTAAATCAACCTGTAGAAAGAGGGTCTACAGTAATAAATATCGGAGAAAGATATCCGTTCCTTTTGGGAAAATGTTAGGAAAAAATAACGGCGTTGAAGATTATCCTGATATCTAAATTTACTTGCCCACGTTGAAAATGAATTTGTGAACGGAATTAGGTAAGCTATTTCTGTTATAAATAGAATTTAATATTCTATTTCAGGTTTTTCCATATTAAAGAGTATTCTGTTTTATTCAGTAAATTTATTTTTATAGTAAACAAATCTTACTTCTCTCTTATTAATATTATAAATGCGAAAGTTCAGAAAATAAATGTTAACCCTACAAATAATATATATACACATAGTAATACTTAAAACTAGTCGTTAACTGTGTGAATTCCGATAAACACCTTCAGTTTCAATTGAACAGTCCAACTGTACAGTTAAATCTGACGTGTATAATCAAAACTAAGAACTGTACAGTAAAGTTGACATTTAAAATTGTATCTACGCTCGTACATTCAGTTCAAACTGTAAGTGTGTAGCTTAATAACAGCTTTTCTAAAAAGAAATTTCCCGTTAAAAAAAATTGGAACGTAATAAAGAGTAAAAAAACCCTAATAATATTAAGAAGAACGGTTTCTTAAGAAAACGTCTACAAAATTACATTAATATTAAAGCAATATGGCCATCCAATTACTTTGTAATGCTTGTCCACAAACAAAATCGGTCCTTATGAGATAATAAACGAAATTAGAGTAAAAGAATAAAATTCTTTAAAAAACACAGTTTATATATGTTATTTCTTTTGTATTAAATACGTAATGAGCAAAGTAAGTAATTCCTTTGCTTGTCTAATAAGAAAAAGGGAGCACGGAGTTCTTTATAATATTTTTTTCATTTCCCTCGGCCATACTAATTGTTTCTTTTGCGTACACGCCCCAAATTAAAGGAAAGTCAAGCATACTTGAAGTTTATGTTAAAAAATTGAAAATTACAACGAGCTGACCCGTATTTTTAAATTAAACTAGCCGTTCCCCTGCGACTTCATTCGCATGACATTATGAAAATTGTTTTATTGTTTACATGTGTCAAATTATCAATTGCAAATATCAAAATGACATGACATGATGACAACCTTGCTTCCTTGATGTTGGCAGCAACTTATGGTCTCTTTCCCACGTTAGGATTTTTATACAAAATATTTAGCCCCTAAGTTTAATGGAGTGAAAATATATAGCCTAAAGCGTGATGTAAGTGTAGGGCTTTATAAATAAAAAAAGTAATAATTCCAAAATATGCTGTAATTGCTAACATCTTAGGCAACAAAGAAGTGTGTGTTTACGCTTTATTATAATAGTATAGAAGATATTGTATAGAAGTATAGATATTGGAGATAAATTTTATTAACACAACTAGCTGTGACCCGCTACATCGTCTACGCAATATCAAGATAAAAAAGTATTGTATTTTTGTATGTATTGAATTAAGTCAAAAACCTCTGGACTGATATCAAGTATTCTTGCACCATTCAAAAGCTATGTTATCAATAAGTAACATAGGCTATATTTTTAATTATTTTTTTAATTTCCTACGGGCGAAGTCGTATGAAATATTGATGGATCGACCCACTTTGGCTCCATCGAAGAGGGTCACAATAATAATTGGCCATACTTTTCCAGTCGTCTTCGAGCACAATGAGGAAAGTTTGACGAACTTGCAGTTGGCAATTGATGGTAAAAGTTCTTAAAAGTTCCCTTATAATGGATCACAGGCCACGTCGATTCTCGACAAAGTTATGGGAACTTTTCACTTGATAAAAAATTTCGTAATCATTTTTTCTAACCAATTTAAAGACCATAAATGACGTGCGAAAAATGTTATAATGACGTTTTTCCACTACCATTCAAGAACAAGTGAAGTGAAAATATACTTGTACTGGACCTACATATGTTTATTGTTTTTTTTTGGAAGTTAAAGGGTTTGGTGTCTTAAAACAGTGGGCTTCAAACAATATGTAGTTAAGTCTACTTTTTTTTAAATTCCGCCCTGTCAAAATGGCGACCAG